AGCCACATTCTGGAAAAAAAGTAATATAAACAATAAAAGGGCAAATTCTAAGAAAAAGGCAAATTTGAGATGCATTGTGCTCCATGTATGGGCAATGTGGTTCTGTAAAGCGGCACGTAACCGTATAATAAACATATTATATTCTTTGCAAGCTCTTGTGGGGCCACATAAAATGAAGTTGCGGGCCGGATTTGGCCCCCGGGCCTTGAGTTTGACACCCCTGCTTTAGAGGGATGAAGTAACAATGTACAGTGATAAAATAGTACTTTCCCGCTTGATTTACAGGTCCTTGTATTTATTGTTTTTAACGTTGAACACTTAACTGCTGCAAAATACATGAATATTTGATAGATGTGAATGAAGTTTTCAAATGAATGAATCACAAATAAATAAAGTAAAGACCTTGAGCATTAGAAGTGAAAAAGCTACTACTATTGAACATTGACATTGTTCATAATTTATATTTCACATTGCACCAGCTTGTTTCTAAGGACAGTGTTGTGTTTTGTTGATGGTTATTCAGGAATAATGTGTTTTCCAAGCAGTGAGTTCAGGAGGTTTTACCACGAGCCTGTCTCCCTCTTATTTAAATGGCCAAACCTTTTTTGACAACTTTTACTTTTCAGCTAAAGGTCAGATTTTCATATACGAAAGATAAGATGTCAGGTGTGGGCCCTGCTTCTCTGAGGTCATTAAAGATCTGGTAGCACGGGGATGGATCCTTCATAACATCCTGACCGTGTCTAATCATCAAGCCTCAAATAGACAGGAATTATGGGTCGGCTCTAACGGATACACTGGGAGCTTTCTGGAACAAGGGGACTGCCACGCTCCTTTTAGATGGGACTACTCATTGATGATGAATGGAGTGAGATACCCCCAGTACAATATCCACTGCTTTCATATCTAATTACCAGTCTAATATCCAACCCTCAGGGGAAATACCCCTTTGCTCGTATTGGTAATGAACTTTTTTTTTTACCGCTGTAACTCAATGACCACCTAAGGGATGCAATCCCACAGTCATCACCCCACCACACCTAATGAAATTTAACCAGTATTAGATAAATGATACAAAAACAAGATGTGACCCAATTCTTTTTCATCATGTTGCTTTTCCTTTTGGCTAAGAGGCTGAAGTTATTTACAGACAACAATGATGAGTCTGATGGGACCAGAGCCTCGTAATTGCATATATTCAGAGACCATGAACATGACTCAACAGCAGAATCATGTTTCTTTTACCAGCACAGACCATAATCTGTGCTTCAAGCAAAGAGAAATATTCTTATCTTTAATATCATACCGTGTAAAGTTATATGCATTTTGCCTTTTGTATTATAAGAGATGTTGCTTCAAAGTTTCAGCCTCTATCCTCATTAATTTTCTTTTGGTCACCACAGCTCAGTCAAATAACATTACATTTCGTAATAGGTCCGCGTTAAACTATTCTTTTGTATAATAGATTGATGTGATAGTTATTAGAAACAAATATTGACTATTGATTGTTAATGTTTAACTTGGTGTGAACTGGACATCTTCAATTTAGTTCTTTTTTTAAGAGCAACCCTCCAAAAACCTCAAGAAAAACAAGAAATCTTCATATTAAAATGCTGTACCAAGCATGATAAATGGCTTAGGTGACTAAATGTATGTTAAATAAGATCATCAAAATAAGGAGATGTTGTTTTGCAGCTGGAGTGCACATCCATCTTGGACTGCACCCTGGAGGAGGTGAAAAGGTACAGTGAAGACCCTCGTAATGTGGACACCAGCCAGGACATCGCCCTGGTGATCGACGGACGCACACTGACCATGGCTCTGTCCTCGGACTTGCAGGATCGCTTTATGGACCTGGCCAAACACTGCCGCACCGTGCTCTGCTGCAGGGTCACGCCCTTACAGAAGAGCAGGGTGGTGAAGGTGGTCAGGGAGAAACTCAAGGTCATGACCCTTGCTGTTGGTAAGACATTTTTGTTGAGCGATTCATCAAAACAAAAATACATATACAGTATATCTGGGAGTTTCAAACTACCTGACTTCAAGGAAAAACAGAAGACAGCATGTGTAAAGTACAGTAAACTATCAAAACAGTTTTAAACTTAATTAACAATTAAATCCATTTTTTTGTTGTTGCTATTCTTAGTTTAAGTTTACCATCCAAATGTTACTTTGTTTTTATTAGTACAACAAATGCACTCTTCCTGCTACAGTATGACAAGCCAAAATGTCTACGCACATGAAAACGGCCTTTGAGAAGGAAAGAAAAAACTGTATGTGAAAGAAATGGTCTTGCAGGGGGGATGTAACAAGTAATTATTTCAGCTTTTATAAGGCTCTTGTTCTTATCTGGTTGTGAGTCATTGAACCTCCTGAGAAATGTATTGTTGAATATTAGACGAGAGAGTGCCGAGATTGTCATCTATAAATACAACGTCATACTGTAGTCCAAATAAACTGTATATAAAGTTGTTGTTTTCTTCGTGACAGACTTTACATTTGAATGTGCGTCCTGATTAAATACTTAGTCCCTTTATAAGGTCTAATTGAGGTCTACACTAGCATCCTCTTTGTGTTTTAAGGTGATGGTGCAAATGATGTAAACATGATCCAAGCAGCTGATATTGGCGTTGGGATATCCGGCCAGGAGGGCATGCAGGTCTGTAGGTCGGTCTGAGGTATAGCTTTGAAAATGCTGTTTGTTTTCTCAACTACTCTCACTGTCCAAACTTTCTGTCCTCTGCAGGCGGTCATGGCGAGTGATTTTGCTATATCTCGCTTTAAACACCTGAAAAAACTTCTCCTGGTCCACGGACACTGGTGCTACACTCGACTTGCAAACATGATCATTTATTTCTTCTATAAGAATGTGGTGAGTCTCGTCTCTGCTAAATCTCTGATCACTGAAGCTAAATGGTGTCTGGATCTCTCCTCTAATCACCCACGCTGTAATGCGTTCCCCAGGCCTATGTGAACCTACTCTTCTGGTATCAGTTCTTCTGCGGCTTCTCCTCAGCTACCATGATCGACTACTGGCTGATGATTTTCTTCAACCTCTTCTTCACCTCGGTGCCGCCCATCATGTTTGGGATAATGGACCAAGACATTTCTGCAGAGATGCTGCTTGGTGTTCCAGAGCTGTACAGGATTGGGCAGGGTGCAGGGGTCAGTGACACTCCACAACAAGATACCGCTACTTCAATTAATTAATGTAGTACTCTTCATTCAAACATGCTTGTGTGTGCTTGTTTAGGAATACACGTTTACTACTTTCTGGGTGTCCATCCTTGATGCCTTCTACCAGAGTCTGGTGGGCTTCTTTATTCCATACTTGGTAAGAGAAACGTTTTAAATCTCCGTCTTTGATTAAGCATTTTGCAAAGTTGCATCTGTCATGGTGTGTCCTCTTTTATGTCTCTTTTTGCCTTACATTTGACTAAATGTGTTTTTTCCCCTCCAGGCTTACCAAGATTCCGACATAGATATTTTTACCTTTGGAACTCCTATAAACACCATTTCTTTATTTACCATCCTGCTGCATCTGTCAATAGAGATCAAAGCCTGGGTGAGTGCCGAAATGATGGATATCTATTATTAGAAATGATTATGCTATGTACTCCCAGTGGGCCAAAACAGCCAGGTCTGCATTTGAAACCAGTATGATAATAATAATAATAATATGGTCAAATAATATTATTTACACTAATCCATTAATGAATTAATTCGATAAAATAAAAAAACAGACTTCTTTTGACACATTTGGTAGATATCAATGTATCTAAATGCTGTTTATGCACCTGTCTTTCAGACGGTGGTTCACTGGGTAACCATGCTAGGCAGTGTGGCGTTGTACTTCATTGTGACGCTCGCCTACAGCGCCATGTGCGTCACCTGTAACCCTCCGTCCAACCCGTACTGGATCCTCCATAGCCAGATGGCCGACCCCATGTTCTACCTTCTCTGCATCATCACTACGGTGGTGGCTCTGCTGCCCAGGTACCTTCACTGCCATCTTCCCTGTGGATAATCATTTAATGAAGCCTTGTCATTGTTACAGAGGGGCTTTTTATGTATTGTAATAAGAACATATGACGAGCGGGTTGTGTCTGTTCCTACATCTACAGGCACAAATATCCACTTGAGGAACTTTCTAATCAAGTATTGTACTATTTTACAAGAATTAAAAAGCAGCTACTAATCCAGTGTTTCTTTTGGGGGATCTCGAAATAAATCTGAGGAGAATCAATATTATCAAAGGAATAAGGAAAAAATAAGAAAAATAAATTATATTTATTAATATGTTTTACTTTAAATTTAATTATCAAATGTTCCAGCATATTTATAATCCCCTAACAGCCTAAATTAATTTACACAGTTGAATTAATGATACAATATATAATAAAGCTATAAATTATTATTTATTTGTATAGGTTAAGATATGATAAGCCCTGATCAAGTTTTCAATTAAAGAGCCTGTGACACGAGTTTCCCCCATCATCCAAACCCATCAATTTGAGTAAATATTGTCCCTTGAAAACCGTTACTGAACTGATTTTGGATATTTGTACTTTGATAACCATTAATCTGCCCTTCAATGTTGACCATTTTCTGGATCTAAAGATCTCAAATACTGTGTTCCTACACAAAGGATATGTGAAGGACAACATTGCTCTTTCTAACCATGTTAAATCCAGTCAACATCATAATTATATTATATATTATTCTGGAGTATGTATATTTGACAAGTGCAGATCATGAACTGCTATATAATTGTGAGGTTGTTATGGACAGTTTAGGCTGATTTGTAATTAAATCATGACGATTGTGACATCCAGGAATGATCTGCACCGCGGCTCGGTCTTCGTCCTGGTTGCTGCTGCGTCTGAAAGTGCTGCTATTTAGAGGGAATGCTCTGATTTACATCAAAGGGCCGCATATTTTTCACTGGCCTACTTTCTCACCACCACACTCTCTCCCCCAGGTACATGTTTCACGTGCTGAGGAACTCTATCGCCCCCTCCCCTCTCATGCAAGCCAGGAGACTAGACCGGCTGGACGCCTCCACCAGGGACGAGTGGATGAAGGAGTGGAGGAGCATCAGGGGCCTCGGACAGGTCAGACGCTCCAGGCTGTCCCCCCCACCCTCTCCTACCCTTGATACCCCTGCGGACATTTTTCCCCAGTCCCCCACCGCCTCTGATATAATGGCTGATGATTTGACACTGAATGTAATTACTGAAAACTATCAGAGGCCTGTACACATGTGAAAATCAGAGAGTCGTTGGCAGATTGAAGGAATAAGATTATTATTTATTCAGAAGAGTGAACATTTTCTGAACTGGCTCATTTTAACCCTCCTGGTGTCTTCGGGTCAAATCTGACCGATTTACTACTTTCATCAATCATAACTTTTTTCTTTTACATTCGATTTCATTAAGGCTTTATGATATCCTTCACAGTAGACATTTGAACACAATTGCTGATCACCACTTTCATTACATTTTGGATGATTTAGTCAACTTTGTAACACCCATGGTGTTCCCGGTCACACACACACACACACACACACACACACACACACACACACACACACACACACACACACACACACACACACACACACACACACACACGCACACACACACACTCTCGATGTGTTCCCCCCCTTATGTGCCCAATCCCCTTATGTGAATCACACCTGGCACTCACAAACACACACACACACACACACACACACACACACACACACACACACACACACACACACACACACACACACACACACACACACAGAAACATTTGACACATTCCCCGCTCTTATGTGCCCATCCCCCCACATGGATCACACCTGGCACACGCGATACATGTTCAGTGTCTATTCTTTGTATATTTACTGCAGTTTTTCATGTATACCAGTAGTCTGATACAATATTTACAGTTTGAAAGGGTGTTAAATGAAATTTGGTGATGATTAATGGTTTTTGTGTTAATGTAATAGGAGTTAAAACAGGACCGGTCAAATTTGACCGTGAACCCCAAAGTAAGAGGGGGAGGGGGAGGGGGGGAAACAAAGACAACAGGAGGGTTAAGGGTGGTCTTACATAAATGCAATCAGGATAGAATACTCTTTCTCTGTGACTTCTCACAAATCATTGATCAGCGCGATGATTGACAAAAAGTATTTGGCCCTCTTACTCTTCTCATAACAAGCTGCCATAGTGAACACATAAGCCTGTTACTTTCCTGATGGGTTTTCAGAGCACAGTGGTAACCCAATTAGTCATGCCACCCACCCCTCAAAAACATGGCACTTTTCCAGAACAAAATGCATAGCTGGTTTAATATATTCCTCTCACCTAGATACCCTAAACAGTCACAATGCATACTGTCAGTGAGGCAAACACAGATGTGGTTTGCAGATGTTTTATTAACTTGCCTCTATAGAAAAATGTATGTCCTAACACTGTAGGCTGGGCCTGTGGCTGGTTGTGTTTTTTGTTTTTCTGTATCATCTGCTGTGAAATACAAATAAGAACAATCAAATTGTTCAATTTGTATGTGTGTCATCTTATTTCACATTCAGCCAAAAGGTACATTCAGAAGAATCAGAGGAAAAGACTTCTAAGCTACAGAGCTTTTTTTATGGAAATGGAGTGTGCACAAGCCGAATCCACTTGTAAAAAGGGCTGAGTTATCATTGGCATACTTCATTATACAGTAGCAGCTCTGCTTATATAAGGTCCCACTGCATCCACTTAGATCATTGCTGCTCTCTAGTGTTGAAAATAAAAAGCTGCACAAAGGTCAAATGGGACAAAGTCAGAAAAACGGACATTTAAACATCCAATTGGAGAATTGATATTTTAGATGAAACATATTTTTTACTGTGAATTCATTGTGAAATAGCTGTTACAAAAAGCAGACTTCTTTAAGACCTGACCAACCCTATCTCTGCTGCCTATCATGCATAATAGCCATGAACACATGTGACATGCGTTAAATGATCGAAAAATAAGGCACGTATTTACAGCCTTTTTTTAGGCAGGTGTCAGGTACGGCGATGTCGCCTATTTTGTTTAATGCATCAGAACTATTTTCCACAGAAATACATTGCATAATTCAGTGAATAACATGCAACTAGTTAACAAGTTGTATTTTCTCAGGTCAACATTTTAGCTAGTGCGCAACATGCATGTGAAGCAAGAAGGTTGATGAAAAAATCCTATTTGGCTAATATTTTTATTTTAAACTAGAGAGCCAATAAGAAGCCTCAATGCACTCTCTTTCCCTAATTCTTCCTCATTAGCATTTTGTGAAACTAGTTTGACTAGTTGGGGTTTTCTGTCTTTCACTGCTTCAACTAGTGGAGGTTACTGTCGTCTGATATTAAAGAGATAGTGCCCACTAAAAGCAACGTTCGACATCACAATATCTAAACATGTAAAGAAAGCTGAATGCTCGCGAAATAATGTCAGAACTGCGATGTGTTGTTTTTAAGTGAGAAGATATTTTTCAAATGTACAACAGGTAAACAAAAGTGATAGCCTTAGAAATGAATCGCCTGCCGGTAAGCCAGCCAAGATCAGTGACAACAGATGCATGCTGTCCTCTCAGAGCCCATCACACTGACGCCCTGCACTCTGGCTCCATGTCAGCCTGCCAGGTGGCCATCATATCAGGGAACCACACGCGGCCCAGGTGCTTGGGCACCTCACTGTGGATCTGCTCCATGTTGTAGCTGCTGTCTGGGATCAACACCTCCTCCATGATGGACAGCTGAGTCAGCCGGCCCCCGCACATCTTTACAAACTCCACAAATCTGCTGCATGTGACTTCACACTCTCCTTGCCCAATGGCAGTCAAGCATTTGCAGCATTCTGCGATACGGATCAGCTCCTCATCCAGGGGTTTAGGACCGTTGGCACACACCACCAGCTCCACCAGCCGAGGGCAGTTCAGTCCAACACGGCCCAGCATCTCTTTACTGACTGCCCGGTCAAAGTACAACTGGGTGACGCGGATCTCGTCCCGGAAGAAGGCATTGAGGAGACCTCCTCCTCAATGAGGTAGACGTACATGACAATGTTGACCTTGAGGTGAGTGTCCAAAGCCTCCCAGCTGCTTCTTTGGAGGGTGTGAAATTGTGTCTGTCCAGGGTTTTCGCTCACCACGTCGATGCGCAGGTGCTCCAGGTGGACGTGTTTTTCAGAAGAGAGGGCCAGCAGGAGCTCGTCACTCAGGAGATGGTAGTTTAACGCCAGCTCTCTGAGTCCATGGCACTGATCCGCAACACACAGAATACCTGAGGACAGAGGGAGAAGTCTGAGCGTCTGAATGGGAACTGATGAGGACAGCTGTTCATCTTCAGCAACTTCAGGGTGTCGCTGTTGTTGGCAACCAGCACCTTCAGGGACGGATCGTCAACCAGCATGTCGTCAATCTTTATGGAAGATAGGGACTTGGAGTTGACAAACACTACTGTCAGTGCAGACGCAAAGTGGGCCTGAGGAGGGACAAACAAAGTTGATAAAGGACAGAATCTTTTTTAAAAGGGCAACATGTTTTTATATTTCTACCATATAATCCAGATCTTGTGTGTCAAACAAACAGGGCAGCAGTGAAAGGGTGGAAATGTGCGTATGAGATGCAGTCTCTTACTTGAGACACATCCATGAAGCTGGGTCTTGCTGTGGAAGTCAACCCCAGGGTCTTAATGGTGCAGTTCCCCAGCTGAGAGTCACAGGCCGCCTCGGCAGATTCTGTGCAGCTATCCATCTGATTCACAAGCAGTGATTCACCATTTAGGTAAAAATAAAGAAAAACCCCAATGTTAGATAATGGAAAGAAGGCGGTGTACTGTGAGAATAATCCCAGCCTCGATGTGTTAACCACACCTAGGCAGCGTCATGATCAATACTGCAGCAGATGGATTGAATTAAGCAGGCCACATATTGTTATAAAGACAGCTGTGGTGTGAAAGGGGAGGAGGTGAAAGGAGAACGGGTTGTCGGCAGGGAAGACTCTCACTTTGAAGCTGACGTAATGCAAGTGCTTGGCGTGCTTCCTGATGATCTGCTGGATGAGGTCGGGGTAAGTGGAGCGCAGGTAAGATGTAGCCGGCTGACTGAGCTCCAACTCAGACCTCCTCCACAGATCAGGGGTGTGAAAGATGTCATTCCAGCAGCGGCACACTGAGGAGGCCCTGGCCCGGTCTACGAGGGACAGATGCTGGGTGGACTGATCTGCAGGACGACGTGTGGCGGCAGGCGACCCCAGTCCTCTGCTGCAGGAAGAGCAAAGCAGGACGTCCTCAATTTCTTCTCTTCTCAAGGGATGGGAAGTGCTGGCACTTTGGTTTGAGACCTGTCCTTCCTCGTTTCATTCAGAAACAAATCACATTTTGTATACATGCCAAAAGTAAGGTGATCTATATGCAGAGTGTGTATCAAAGATATCTGAGCTTTTATTAGATTTTTGATAGTGGTTTACAGTCTCATACCCGTCAAAATAGAATTATGTCAATGTATCATAAAATAAGGTCGTTTTATTCTCCCTTCCTATAGACAGTTGTTTAATAACTAGAGCCCAGGAAGTAATTTACAGTTTTTAAATGCAAGTAATTGTCATTTTTTCAACAGTAGTAAGGATATAGATACAAGACAAAACACAAACACAACAAATACAATAGTCATTTCTTGACACCTTTTTGTAAAAGTATTTTAAATAGAGTTTACTACTTTATAAAAACCATCAACCCATACTTTGAACTGAGCTGAAGTGAATGGATAATCACTATAGCTGTAGCGCCAGAGACACATTAACAGAAACCTTGCTGACTATGAGCATACAAAAAACACCCATATGAAACCAAACAAAGTAAAAAACTCCAACTGACGGGTGTTACTTATCAAGGGTTGACAAACAACATTTTCCTCTCTGTTGTGTGCTCTGCCGGTGGAGGAGACATCGTTCCTTGGAGCCATGGATGGAGATTACTTGATCAATGCTGGCTGTGGCTGAGATAGGACAGCAGGAGCAGGTCTCTTCACAAGCGACTCTCACGGCTTTAGCAACAGCTTGAAACACGAGAGAGGGGGAAGCATGGGCCTGCCTGCTGCATCTGCATAGGCATGGAGGAAAGACCTACATTAACAGGGGGATACCTTTTATTATTGAAGAAAGATTACACTTCATATATATATTTATACCTGTGTGTGTGTGTTTTTTATACAGTAAGATTAATTAAAAAAGAAAAACACTCAGCAATTAATCAAATCATATTTCACATTTCAAGTTACAGTCATTCCCCAAAAATTAAACAGGATATCTCTGACCACCTAACAAGACGCTTCATTCCTCTGGTTTCCTTCCTGATTGGGAAAGCAGCCACTAACCCCAGAAAGAAAGATTACCAGGGTAATGTCATGTAGAGGTCAGTCAAACTGGACGGTGTAGAGGTCAGTCAAACTGGACGGTGGAAGGACACAAATTTGCCCTGTGTTTCGAGTGCCCCCAAAGTGTAAGGTCCCTGGAGTTATTTCAAACCAGTGTGTCAAAACAGACTATGGACCAAAGATGTATCATATTTCACTGAGCACAGAGGGCTTATGAATGAGGACAGCTACTGGTCGGACAAAACAACGGTGCTATAGTGAACTGAATTGAAGTTTTTTTAGTTGGTTAACATGGAGGAAAATGTATATAAAGTACTCAGATTGTGTTCTTAAGTAAAAGTAGAAGAACCAGAGTGTAGGAATGCTCTGTTACAAGTAAAAGTCCTTTAGTACAAAAGTATTAGCATCAAAATATACTCAAAGGACCAAAAGTGAAAGTACTCATTATGCAGGTCGGCCCATTTTCAGAATAATGTATAATAGGTTTGGATTATAGATATTTATTCATTATTGTGTTTATCACAGCTGGTAAAGCATGCAGCTAATTTAATGAATTACTGCAGGGTTGTCTGACCGTGAATATTGCTCCAGATGTCCCTCAAGTCTTATTTAAGTGTTGTTGTTTTTCACAACATGAATCTACAAAGTAACTAAAGGTATAGAATACATTTAGTGGAGTAAAAGTACACTATTAACCTTTGAATCGTAGTGGTGTAGAAGTACTAAGTAGCAAATAATTGAAATACTTCAGTAAATTAAAAGTTCCTCAAAATTGTTCTAAGGTAGTGCTTGAGAAAATGCACTTATGTACTTTACATCCCTGATTATAGTAAATGTACTTAAATAAAATTGAAAACAGCTTTAGCCTTCAGTAAATGCAGCCTGGCAGGGCTAATTTAGGGCAAAATTACCCAGAGGTGTTGCCATGGATGGCAGCCCCGCCCATTTACTGACGTAGCCGCGTGGAAACGTCGTCCATAGGAGACGCTAGTTACGTCGGCATGAGAAGAAGAAATAAAGACAGCTTCACAGAGTGGCTTTGTTAAAACAGGTTAATAAAAGACATACTCCAGCACCCTCTGTTATTCTCCATAGACAGCACGATGCCACGACGCTGCTGTTTTGTTTTATTTTTTGAAGAGAAGAAGCTGGCTACTTAGCTTAGCCACAGTCTGACAACCAACGTCATTAGCCTGTAGCTAACTGGTTACTTTGAGTAAGGTAAGACTTTTATTTACATGCTAAAACTAACGTAAGCTGTGTTATTAGATGACACTTTCAGTAAGATCAATGTCTACATTACATTTTTAATAAACTATAAACTGTTTCTTAAGTTTAGTAACAAGCAGGCGACAGCTAATGATAAGTTTAACTTGTTTTTTTTAGAGCTAAGTCAAGCTATCTTTATCAGCCGCTTAAATCCTAGCTTAATTAAATGATCATTTTACTCACTCGAAAACCCTCATCAAAAGTCTTAAAACATTGTTACACATAAACCATTTATTCGGTCTACAGCTAATTACCTTTGTTAGGAAAAGGAAATAGCCTTGGTCTTAAGGAGCAACAAATATAATTTTATGTTGACTTTCTGTTGCAGGGTTTCTTTTCTTTTTTTTCATTACCGAGTAATTAAATCCAAGCAAGACAACATGGACATCATAGCTTTCCCTTGTGGTTTTACTTTTGTTTTGATATCATTGAACAAATACGCTTTGTTGTATTTATTGATGTCAAGTGACTGTGCAAGTGGAAATACTAATCGCAAACACATATATAGATATAAGGTGGCAAGTTTTGTTGTTTGTTTCTTCACAACTGTGGTAATAAATACAATTTTAAACGTTGATCTGATAAAAAAATTAATATCTTGTTTTGTGGACAAGGCTGAAAGAACAACGAATTGTATTATTTCACAGCTACAAGCTCCTAAAGTTCTTTGTAGCATATATCATTTTGAATTTTCATTCAAATGAAATATTTGAGTTAAAATGTTTACAGTAACATTTCACCATGTTACAAAAAAATTCCAAAGAACTCATGTGTTGTTTTTAACCAAGATCCTGAAATGACTTTAGCTTTTCTGCCATTTTTTGTATCATTACATTGATGGTGATTCTTCTGACCTGTCTCTTCGAGTATTTGCCCTGCATTTGTTAAAGGTTTGCTCTTGGTTCTTTTTATAAAGCCAAAGACTTGAGTTTTACATGTTGTACTTCGTGTGTCCCTTTTTTAGAGAAAGCAACCATGACACAGAAAGGCAATCTGTCTTCAGTCTCCCTCGGAGTGGAGGGCATGACATGTGGCTCCTGTGTCCAGTCCATAGAGCAGCGAATTGGGACGCTCCCCGGGGTCATACATATAAAGGTAAATGTGCAAAGATGTTCAGTGAGAACATGGATTATTACTTTTAGTTTCAATCAGCATTTTCTTCCAAGTTGATATGCAATTTTGTTTATCTTGCTGTATGTCTGAATATCTTAAAAACCTTCTGAAATGACTACCATGGATGTTGTACAATCCAATCTGTAATTTAAAAGGCAGATATGCATACATTTTTATATTAACAAAAGGGTCCTGTCCATTTGAATGTAAGGCAGTTTGATTATACCCACAGCTGTACTCCCTCATGACTAACTTGAATTTAAAACCGACTTACATCCATTTGGCCAAGAGAGATTGCTATATTACAATTGTTGTGGGCCTCTGTTTTGTTTATTTTGTGTTTACCCCTCAGGCTTGGGTTAAATGACAAGATAATGTAATAGAGTGTTCCGGATAAAGCTCTGCCCTTCTCAGGACTGTGACAACAGGTCGATACGCAGCTTGCACCCACAGGAAATGTCATTTATGTCTTAAGAGAATTCAGTTCCTGGGTCTTTTTTTAATTCATTTATATAGACATGATCTGGTAGGAGTGAATAGATGTTTTTGGTAGAACAGACTCATTTTGTCTCATTCCTGGCCCTCCCCGCTCTCATTCTCTGAAACATCAATGTTAAGCCAACAGGCACAATCACTTACAACTTAACCCCCACTTGTGGTTGTTACTTACGGCCCAGTCAAGTGATCCTTTCAGCGTGTCACATGTTTCATTCTTGCTAAAGAGGAAGAGCTAAGGGTCATCAATAATGACACAGCACGCTTTGAGCTTGCCAAGGGAAATGACTCATTTTAGCCCATTTCTTTTAAATATGTATTGTGTATAAGGTCAATTGTTGAGACGAGGCAGATTCACAGTACGGCTGTGAAAATGCCACAAGATAATGCATATTATTGATGATGTGTGGGTAAACTACATTAAAGTGACAATAGACACATTTTTTGCTTTAATTTATCTTTAACTAGTAACTAAAGTACATTTTGATTGCCCCATCTAATCGCTTCACTGTGCTCTATCTCCCAGAGACCTAATGGATTGTGTCCTGTGCATCTTTATTCAGATGCAAGTAGCTAGAACTAGCTTCAAACCAGCTAAAAAGCTGCCTATTGGCTCTTTAATTTCTTAACAGTATTTTTGGAACATTAATGTGCGCTCAGGAAATTCTACATGCTGTTATTAATCTGAAATAAGAAAGCTGCCTTTTAACCTCATAGATGAATTAACCCGATTTATGAGTCGAATACAAGTCAAATGCAGCTATTGTAAGCTACACTGATTTAGTTTAGCCGGATTTATTTTCCCATTTCTTTCCCGTTTTATGAATTTACTCTATTTTAACCTTGACTTTTATTTTGTAGGTGTCTTTAGAGCAGAAGAATGCCACTGTATTATTTGACCAGAGCCACCAGAGCCCAGAGTCTCTGTCGGAGGCCATCGAGGACATGGGCTTTGAATCGAGTCTATCAGCGTCCAGCGCAGCCACCCCCGTCTCCACGGACACCCAGCTGATCCCCACCTCAGGCCTGACACCTGCAGCCCAGCAGGAGGCTCTGGAGAAGCTGTCCCAGATACAGGGAGTGTTGGACGTCAGAGAGAGCCCCTCCCCGAAGGGTCTCACTGTTACCTTTGTTCCTTCCCTGACTTCTTCTTCGCAGCTAAGTGAGGCGGTGGAGGTCCCAGCATCCAGCAGCCCAATGCAAATAACCCCAAACATGTCTCCATCGCACACTGCGGACGACGGGGCGGCGCTCCTCAAACTGAGCATTGAAGGAATGACCTGTCACTCCTGCACTACTACCATTGAAGGAAAGATTGGAAAACTAAATGGGATTGAGAAGATCAAAGGTGATGTACTTTACAAGCTTGAAGTCATACTGCTTCAGTGTCTGATGTAAAAGTGATGTTGTAAAACAGTTGCGGCGCAGGAATGCACTTCTTAAAGATAACAATTGTCACGTCATGTGAGGACCTTTGCATGGAAACAATTGACAGGTTTCTCTGTGGGATTTGACAATGAAATACTTCTACTGGTATTGTTGTAAGTAGTGACACGTTTACAGATTCTGTGTGCAGGAAGACTAAAGCTGCAGCTGTATGTTTGTTTTTCTAGAAACATTGTCCCAAATGGAGTTAAATATGAATATTTCACAAAGATGATTTCCTCATGAACCTTTTATAATAATGACTATAATCTTAATTATGAAGAGCTTTTCAAAACCCCAGAGAAGTGCTTCAAACAGAACAGTATAATAAGACCATCAATACTCAAATGATGTGTCCTTAAAGTCTTTTTTAACAAGAGATTTAAAAGATGTTATCAACTCAAACAGCCTGATTTCCTCAGGTCCAGAGCCCTGAATGCAAAGCCTCTGTTCTCTCTGGAGTTCAGCTTTAAAACACTTCTTCACATCCACCAGGACCTTAAACCGGGACAAAGCACACAGGAAGGACACCTGATTTAGATTACCTTATTATAAATGATGCATGACAAAGGGCCCCTGATCTCATTGTGAGACTGACCGTTGAGCGGCCCGACCAAGCAAGGAGGCAGAGGCAGAACGTCCAAAAATATATCCCGACGTGGGCATTTATTAAAATAATGTGCACAAAGTTCACAGCCTCAATCCTGCTGTTCTCTGTGAACACATCCTGCAGCCACAAATATCTCACACACACTACCAGCCCAACAAGAAACAGCACTTAAATACACAGACTAACAAGACACAGGTGAGGGGGAGCAATTAGACACAGGTGAGGGGGGAGGAGACAACACAGGGCACCAGGTGCACACAATCAGCAAAAACATACATGGGGAACAAGGAAGTTGTCGTCAATATACCCCACACAGTACAATGATTATAGCCACATGTCCACGTGAGCTCTAGTAACGGCGTCTCGTCGTTACAGGGAGAGAAACTCCCTCTGGAGGGAACACAGGGATGTGATCCTTTGCAGACCATTTACAAGCACTTAAAACACCTATCGAACACACTACAGGAGGGGGAACACCCCAAACAGCATAACAGGCAAGAGAACTCTCTATCTTCTGTACTGTTTTTCAGTGCACTGATGTGATACTAATTCTTGCAAATGATTGCAATTAAGCAATGCTAGCTTTAATATAAGATGCAAACACACTACTGATCGTAAACAAACATAGCTCAAGGTTAAACGCAAACCGTTGTTTCTAACAGCGACAATAAAGAAAATGAAATCAACAGATCTATTTTCTGCTCCCAGATGTTGTCAGTTTGAGCGGCCCTCGTGTTTTTACAGCATCATTAACTGTTAAATGAAACGTATCCCATGCACTTAATGTATGTTTGCTTATCAATACTTCCATACAATGTTATGAGAAACCTTTGTGGCTTTTAAATAGCTGTTGTTATAAAACCACCACCTGCTTGCAGTTGACCTGATGCTCACTGCTGCTATAACCTCATGTCATAAAGTATCCATTCTGAGCCGATCACTGTGCGAGGCTCAGGTGCTCTGTGGATTATGATAGCAGTCCTCTTCATTAGCAGAGAACACTAATGATGCTAGAGTGGCATGTGCAGTGTAGATAATGACCTCTGTAATGTGGCAAATTGAAATGGTGTCTGGTACAATGGAGTAGCAGAAGCCTAATGCACTCGTTATGGAGGCAGCTTCCCCTCGGCTCCAGTTCTTTTTCACCCGGTGAACACGTAGATATGTTTGACAAGGATCTCACTGAAGTGTTCGAATACTCAAAATAGATTTACCAAGTGTTGCCAGTCACAAAGCAAACCTTACATCATTTACCTGACAGCTGTCAGAATGTGACGTGTAGAGAAACAGCTATTTGAGGGTTGCTTTATCTCAGGCTGCTGACGCATGGAGCACGCTTCATTCAGACTCTGGGTTTCAATAAAGTTGCAGCAAAACAGTTAGGGCAAAAAAGTCATCTTCATTAAAAAATATATAGAATAACAATAAAAGCTGTATTCCTATAGCAAACATCTAGGGGTAGAACTCTATAGTTTGCACCTGCAGTAATCCTACACCCATGTAACTGCAACCACCTCCGTGATGTCATGCTAGTTTACTCTGTCATAAAGGTGTCTGGTCTGCATGTTTGTGTAATTTAGAACTATAGGACATGTTTTATCTTATTTATTATTACATAATTAACGTATTATTTGTTACAGCTGTCAGCACTTTTATATAACACTTGTTGATCCAGATGAAACATCATTTTGGTTTTGCTCATTTGTAAATGTTTGGGTTTACTTGCCCAATGAATAGATTCCCATAAAGGTGACCCGAGTCTTTGAAAGGCAGTGGGCAGGCCACCTGAATAAAGAGGTTCTGAATATGTTCTCTTTGGCGTGTCCCCCCCACCAGCCTCCATAGTGGAGCAGAAGTGGTGGTGTCAGATGCATCCGTGCCTTGACGGGGAGGAATGCAAAGTCCTTCCTGATCTGAAGGGCTGGAGCTGTGCTACAGGGAACAAGATCAAAACCACCAAGGTAAGTTGAATTAACAAACACTTTCATCTAACAATCTGACCTCGACCAATAGGTTGCAGAAAGTATACTGTTATAAACTTAGCATTCAGTTTGGAGTTGCCATCGTATTTGTATTTTGGCCAGATGGGGCCAGGGACCATTAGCATAGTCAGTGGCGGCGCCAGGGTATGGCTGGGGTAGGCTACAGCCATACCAAGAAATGGCTTAGCCCCACCATGAAAAATGATGTTAAAGTAAGCAAAAATAAAGTCCGCCAACTCGCGCGGAGTAAATTGCACAGACAGCAGTTAGTAAGATTGATTTCAGCAGCCACTTGTCTGGAAATACCGAAGACTAGAAACGGTTTTGAAAACTTTTGTCACGTAGTGATCGTCTTCTCAATAGAACATCTTTGATAATGTCTTCTGGCCAATCAGAATCACGATAACGGCGTAGTGTTGTTGCAGAAAGTCTCGACGGAGAATACTTTTACTGTAGTACATCTCTATATACATCGATACAACATTACGTGTTGATAGAAATCAACACGTAATGAAATAAGACCCCACGGTTTGATGATTGATAGGTGTGTGGGCTGTCTTTCATTTTGACACACAGAACATGTTATAATAAACATACATACTGTATGTTAAATGGATATATCCGCCTTCTTTCATTTATCTTTCCATTCCCACAACAATATACATAAAGAAATGCATATTTTTGACATAGTTCGAATGGTACACA